GACCTTCTCAAACAAAAATCCCTCCATATCACCAGATCAAATTCACCTGCTTACTTTGCCACCCTAAGCTGATCTGCTTAGTTCCTCCCTTGATAACATCAAATATATCGGACTTGTCTGAAACAATCCCAGCCAGCCTACATTCAAGCTTTGCCTTGAAGACATAGAGAGACATTCAATCACCTGGCCACAGTTTCGCTCCTTCAACATCAAACGCTGACAGCCTTGTCGTTATTTCTACCTCTCGGAGAATAAGCAAGTCTTTAAATAGCAACCCTGCATTTAATCAGCCTCTCATGATTCAAAAGGAATGATGAACTTTGCCTTCTGTCAGAAAATAGGAGATTGGGGTTACATATGAGTGAGCTAGAGAAAGAAAAAGAGATAGAAGGACAGACAAAAAGAGAGAAATTCATTATATATGACATCAGCTAGGCCTATTTGATCTATGCATCACTACTGCATTGATCTGAATGTTCATCAAATATATATATGATTCATCAAATGTAAGTTATGATTCAGTAATAGTAATAGATACATGTGATTTGGTAGTAGGCCTACTTGTAATTATATTAGATTACATTTTAAAGTACATGTAATCATACAGTTACTTTTTTATTGATTACATGATTACATATTAGTCACATAATTTCATAATTCCTCCTAATTCCTCTTTTTAACCTTTTACATGTTTTTCTAAAATAACCTACACATGACATGCAGGTAAACAAATGTTTTTTAGTAAGTGTTTTATTTTGATTGATGTCATTTTAAAGTTATTTAAATTTGTACATATTTCGGATATAAATAATTAGCTTTTTATTAAACTCACAAACCCCCTGCCGTTTGTTCCTTCATGAACCCAAGTTTGGGAAACCTTGAGATAATATAATGCTTCATGTTTCATGTTGTTAATAATGAATGGAATATATTTCCTTTCTCTTTGTACTTTTGTATCAATATGGTACAAGGTTATCCTATTTACATGTGATATGTTATATTATGTTATATTATATGTGATAAACAAGTCAGGTCAAAAGTAATCTAAAAGTAATCCAAAAGTAGTCTGATTATATTACCTAAAATATGTAATGTAATGGATTACGTTATTAACTACAATTGTTAAATGTCATTTGGAATCAGTAATGGATTACAATTAGTAAGTAATCTACTCTATTGATTGAACTAAATCAGCATGTTAAATTGAAAGCCCTACTCTTCACATTTTGGAAGCAACGACAACGTCTTAAAAAAAATCTCTGCCAGCAGAAAAATGAGTGGTAGATGTTTAGTGTGTTGTCCTAACTTTCTATATGATAGACAGTAATGTGTGTGCAGTATGTGGGTGGAACAGTTGAAGCAGTGGAGAGAGGCATGTGATGAGACAATGCAGCCCCACTGTTACTCGCACACTCTCACTGAGAAAAGTCGAAAGGCTACTGACAGAGGCGCTGACATGTTCTGTGGGTAAAAATAAAAAATAATAAACTAACACACTCGATGCACCCAGACATGTTTGTGGGAGTCTTGCAAACACAGCAGGTGTGACGAGTCAGATCACAATATCAATTACATTGCATGATCAGACCACATGCAACATATGCAAGAATGTGAAAATGTCCTGGTATTAATACGAAATGTTATGCTCCACAGACTTGCGTTATGAACAGGTATATTCTGAGACCATTTGGGTTTGATTTGAAAAGACAGGTTGTCAGGACTGTCAGCTAGGGGGGAACAGGACTAGCCAGGAGCTGTTAATTAGACAGTGGAGGGGGGCACATATTTATCACTCCTGCCCTCCCACTCTCATTCTGTCTCTCTCTACCCCTTTATTCCTTTTTCAATCAGTCTCTCTCTGTTTAATTCATGGTAGAAGACAGACTATGGATATATACCTGCTATAACTTTTATCCATATTAAACTACTTAACATAGAAAGAATATACAAACGACATTCATTTAAGCAGCAGCAAATAATTGCAATGCTAAGGGTTGGAATTATCGGTCTGTGAAAGATACTGGACAAGATGTTGTCAAATGGCTCTATAGCAGAACCAGTTCACCAGTTACACTATGTAGGCTGTCAAAACTGGCACATCTTGCTTGAGAGCTGAACAGGCCGGGTCTTCTGGCTCACTGTATGCCTGCCTTCTTGGCACGCTACTTCTTCTCTGTGAACAGCACTGGGTCTCATAGACATGAGTTCAATTTTCTCCAAGAGCAAGGTGCGATCTCTGCTCACACTCAGTGGGGTTTTGAGTTAGGGCTTCTGTTACTGTATTAGTATTCGTTTTGCAGTTCAATGCAAGTATACAACCTAAACCAGCTACAGCTGAATGACAGCTTAATTTCTGCAAAATTTGCATGGCTGTTTTTTTTTTTTTTTTGCATAGTTGTATTTATTTATTGTTCTTTTTATATTCTAATGTTAATGTTAATTTGATGCTTTTACATTAAATGGTCTATTGTCTATATAATAGCCTATAAAATAGTATATATATATATATATATATATATATATATATATATATATATATATATATATATATATATATATATATATATATATA